TCTTTCTGAAGGCTGGCCAAGCAGCACTGGGGATGGCAGGAGCTCTGTGGCCATGGCACGTGGCTGCCCCAGCAGGGTTCAAAACAACCCTTCTCCCCATCTTTGCTCTCTGGGACCTCTTCACCACTGGAGCATCCTCTGCACTTGAAACGAGAGCATAAAGCACAAGGTGTCTCCAGGCACAAAGAGCTCCACGTTTCCTAAAGAAAGGAAATCATTTATAGAACACTCCAAGTGACAGCTCCAGCAGCAGGAAAGAGCACTTGGCTTTCGGCTGGTCTGGGCAGCTGCCCCAGGCAGACCCACAGCACAACAGGAGGAATGGAAATGTCAAACAGAACTTGAGTTTCCACTGTTAGCAGAGAGTCCTGCCCAGCCTTTGGGCCCTGCCAGCTTCACCCAGGAGTTCCAGGTGCCAGCAGCTGGGTTTGGACTCTGGAATACTCAGAAACATCTCCTGCACCTCTGCAGTTCATCAGCCCAGTGCACAGCAGAGGCCTCGCCTGGGCCGTGGATTTACTGCCTGTGAGTAGATCAAACCTGCAGGGAATCCACAGCAGCTTTAGATTTCTCACATCCTGATCCCTTTGCCTTCTCCAGGTTTTGTTCTAACCTGTGCTCTGCCTCACTGCAAATACACCAGGCCATGCTCGAGCCTCTCTGGTTGTTCCTGGTTGCTTTTCTTTTTCCCTTTCTAGTTTTTTTTTTTCCTTTCTCCCCTGCTAATCCAGTCAGCTCCCCTGAAGTGGCCGAGGTTGTTACTCCTGCCAAGGGAAGGAGAGCACACAGAGCCTTCTGTCTGCAGAGCACTCGCCCTGGCCCAGGCACAAGTGGGAGCTTTTCGTTCCTGCTGCTCAGGAGCCGCCAAGAGTGAGGGGTTTGGCCACGGAACTGTGGTAAGAGAAGTGCCCAGCGTAGAGAGAGGTTTGCAATTTGAAGTTGAAATGTTGGGAGGAAGAGGGGGGGACCAACCTGGGGGGATCAGAGCCCCTCAGCAGCAGTTTAATGTTGTGTGGGGCCAGGGGAGCCTCAGGGGCTGTGAACCTGCTGGAACTGTCTGAGCTGAACAATGGGGTGGGTTTTCAACCTTGTGAAGGGGCTGCAAGGCAGGGTTGGGTGTTTTTGGGTGTTTGGTGGAGCAAGGAGCCTGTCAAGGAACAGAGAGGCCTGGTGTCTACTCAGGGACCCTCCTCACCTTCTGTCCCTCTGGCAGGCACGTTGGGCATTTGTCTTGTCCAGCGAGGTCAGAGACAGCCTGGAGCTTGCAGTGAGTGTGTCTGGAACATGAGGGCCAAGGGAAGGTGTGGACTGAGCAGCAGCAGCAGCTGTTCCTCCAGCTCCTCTGGGACAGTGCTTGGGGAAGGGGCTGCAAACAGCCAGCAGTGCTGGGGGGTCTGTCTGCAGGCAGGGGGGTCACCCTGAGCAGCTGCTTTGGGGGGTTGGGATGGGTTTTTGACAAAGCTTTAGGGCTTGCCAGGTGTGCCAGGGAGGAAAGGAGAAATTCAGCCTGTGACAGATGACGATTCCAGCTTTGTTTCTTCTTCAGGAATTGCTTCAGCCTCAGTCAGAACGACTCCCTGTTTGCAGGCTCAGCATTACTGCCCACAGCACAGGTTGGTTTGAATTGCACATCAGGACCTGGGAAGGAAGGGGGAGGTGAGAGGGTGAGTCCTTCACTCACCTGAATCAAAACCCCATCCTGCCTCCCCGAGTGCTTCCCTTTACTGCCAGCAGTCTGTTACAGTGTTCTTGTTCAGAAGTTGGTCCTGGAATGCTGACAAAGGGAAGAAATCCTCTCCAGCCCTCTGTGGTAGGATGGATAGGAGGGCGATGCCTCCTCTTGTCCTGCTGCATTTTCCTGTGTGTTTTTAAGGCTCACATTGTCTGGGCAGCTTTCTGCTTGAACCATGTTTTTCCAGGCTCACCTGATAGTATAGAATTTGAGATCTTTGCAAGTCACATTTGTGTTGTACTTGTGGCACAGGCAAACTAGAACCCTCCAGTGAACCTCTGGTTTAGCAGGGGGACTGTGTATGGCAGAAATTAAGGATTTAATGCTTACTGGGTGTGCTGCAGTGAGGCTCCCATGCACCGAAGAAGGAATGACAACAAAAAGAAGGAATGATCAGGAAATGGGCACTTGGAGAACTGGAAACAACCACAGCACTGGCCACTTGCCATAACCCATGTTCTTCTACTTTAGACCCAACCCTTGCTTCCTGGAGAGACCAGCAAGCAGAGGCTCCCACGTCTGGGCACATGGATTTTGTGAGAAGAGAGCTGGTAGGATGTGCCAGTTGTAAATGCCTGCTCTGCTCCGTGGCACAGGCTGTGGTGAGCGGTCGTGATGCCTGATGCAGCGGGGCGGTACCGGAGAGGGTGGGAGGGCAGCGAGGAGGAGCAGCAGGGCAGAGCCAGGCGGGGCTGGCACGGCGATCACTCCTCGCTCGGGAGTGGAGGGGGGGGCCTGCTCATCTCCTCCTGCCAAAAGGAGCTTTCTTAGCACCTTGTTCTCGCACCTGTGAGTCTCTATTTGACAGCCCGGAAAATTAATACCCAGCCAAGGTGTGTAGCTGTGCTTCCGTCACGTCAGTGCACCCTCCACATCTGTTTGTGGCAGTTCATGAGGAGATCCCAGTTGTACACAGACTGTTCAGATGGCCCGGGACGCTGTGCAGAATTTTATGCAGCCGATTGATCAGTATTGTGGTGGTTCTGTAACTGAAGGGCCTTAAATGGGCGGTGTGGACAAGTGAAACTAAAGGCATTGCATTGTATCACAGCTCCAAGGATAATCTTTGAGCCTTAAAATGTTTGTGTTCCCTCTAAAACACAGCACTTAAATAAATACTTGGGTTGTCGTCTTCTAAACTGGATCCAGGTGCAACACTCATTTAATTGAATGTGTCTTTTCATCTCCACGAGGCTCTCCCCTCGCTCAGGTCTAATCTTACCTTGGTGATTATGCTCAGCTGATTGCCATCAGCGCTGTGGCTCCTCTCCAAAGGCACAGGGAGCAGTGGGGTGGGGCTGTACAAGTGTCGGTGTCCCGGTAATTCTGGCCGGGTAATTCCTGCCCCGTGAGGTGCCTCAGCAGAGGAGCTGCCAGATTTACTGGTGTGCCTTTGGTGGCACTTTGGAAGGTAACAGCCCGTACGTGAGTGTGCCGGGGGCGGAGACTGAGGGCAAAACCGCCCTGAGTTCATGACATTTTGAAAGCAGTTCATGACCACCACCTGTGTGTTTCTTTTGTGTGAGCACTGCCAGGTGTGCTGTCTCACCTGACCCTGATTAATTACTCATTTATGTTAATTGACTCTTTCTATCAAGAAGAGGATGGGGGAGGAGTGAAATAAAACGCAGCATTACAAATATGCAAAGGTAGAGGGACTGAAGGGTGCAATTCTCACAGGAACGTGGTGAGGCTGGAGAGGAAAACCCTAACTCAGGATAGGATAGTGCTCCCTCTATGACACTGCCTCACTCTGTGGCCTTGGTCAAATCATTGCTGGTCTCTATTTCTCCAGCAGGGTATAACCCTTCAATTGTGAGTCCTAACACAGTGGGAATCAATAATTTATTCACATGTGCTGTATGGCATGTCCTGGGTACCACTGTCAATGAAGGACAAGTAAGATTAGTTGCTTATTTTGCAGTGCTGAAGGTTGGTGTGTAAGGTGTTCCAAACTCAGCGCTGTTCCTGTGTCATTATTGCATGTATGGGGGTCTCTCTCCAGTGCTGTGGGAAAAAGGACTGAAGTGCTTGATACTTTAATATTTCAGTCACAGTTTTACCTAATCAATTTTGTAAACTGTACCTGCTGTTTAAGATGCAAAGGCAGCAAAATTTCACTCAAGTTGTAACTTAGAACTAGAAACTTCTCTTAAATATCAAAGTAAAATTTAATAAAGGGCTAATACTCAACTTGCATTTTTCCCACTGTGGTCAGAATAGGTGTGTCTGGTTTGCCTTCTATTTGCTGAACCATACCGTTGATTCAGAAATGGAATAACAGAAGTTTCCTGCAGCCCCGTACCTCGGGCCGTGGGGCACGTGTGAGGGTGTCACGAACAGGACTCAGAGCTGCCCTGGGGGTCCTGCGAGAAGGGCTGTATATTGTAAGCTCCCACACTGGGGAGGTGTGGGCTCCTGCCTTGCCTGTTCCTGTCGCCCTCCCGCTCCGCAAAAGGCTGTGCCTGGTGCGTCCCTGCCTTCCCTTCGCCTGCCCGGCATCTCGCCAAGTCCTGAGCCATCCTGAGATGAGGCAGCCTCCTCCTTCTAATGGGCATCTGAAGGTAAAGCATACTTTTAGACGTTGTTATTAATAACACGATAACGAAAACAAATCAGAGGAGCTGTTGCAAGCCCTAAGGTGATTCCCATACCCACTGTAGAGAATTAAACCGCATGGACCGCGCTGGCAGCGAGTTTCACTCCCGGGCTCCGGCTGAACGCCCGGGGCCGACCCCATTGTCCCCTCCCCGCCGGTACGGCCCGGCCCGGCCCGTCCTCCCCCCTTCCCGACGGGGCCCACCCTCCGTCCTTGTCTGCCCGCGGGTGCCGCATCCCCGCCGAGGGTGCCGCATCCCCGCCGAGGGTGCGCTCCCCTCTCCCGGGGCGGCACCGGCACCTGCCCGGGCCCGGGGCCGCGGCCGCGCGCCCTTTATGGCCGGTGCGCGCTCCCGGTGCGTGTGTGTGTGTGCCTGTGTGCGGGATGCGGGCAGCGGGCGGGCGCCGGTCCCGCTCCGAGCGAACAATGGCAGCGTCGGCGCTGCCCGGCACCTCCTGAATGGGCGCAGGCCTGAGGGGGGGCGGCAGCGGCGGAGGAGGAGGAGGAGGAGGAGGCGGCGGAGGGGCGAGGCGAGGAGGGTGCCGCCCCCCCCCCACATCCTCCCTCCCGCCCTCCGCCCGTCCCTGCGCAGGGACGCGGGGCCGGGGGGCCCGTCCGTGGGGCGGCGGCGGCGGGGGAAGGGGAAGGGGAAGGGGGAAGGGGCGGGGGCCGGGCGGGAGGCGGGGGCCGGGGGCGGGCGCGTCCACCTGCGCGCGCCGGGCCCCGGGCGCATGGAGGATCCGCGCTGAGCGCCGCGGCACCGGAGCGCCCGCCGGGCGGGGGGAGCCCCCTCGGGCGCGGGGCCCCCGCTCAGGTGAGTCCCGCCGCGGCCCCGCCGCGTCCGCACACACACCCACCCCCCCGCCGGCACCGCGGGGGCAGCGCGGGAGGAGGAGGAGGAGGAGGAGGAGGGGATGCTGATGGCAGGATGGCAGCGCCGGCCTGCGCGGAGGCCTGCGGGGAAGTTGCGGGGTGTGTGTGTGTGAGGGTGGTCTGAGGTGACGGGGGGGCGGCAACTTGGCGCCGTGTCGTGTGTGTGTGTGTCCCCCCCTCTCTCCTTCCCTGGGCAGGTGCCGCGCTGGGCGGGGGCGCCGCCCCGCCGGGCCCGGGGGCAGCGGGTCCCCGCCGGGGCCCCCGCGGGGGCCGCTCACTTCAGCCTCGGCCAGAACAAAAACATAATAAAAGGGAGGGGGGATGGGATTTTTATTTTTATTAAAAAAAAAAAATAAAAAAGCCCTAGCTCTGGGAGTAGCTGTCACTGCGCGCATTAAACTAGAGAACTGGCTAATCAAATAAAACTGGCTCATTGTCTGAAACTCTATCCCAGCGCAAAATGCGGCTGTGAATGTAATTAACCATCTGTCTGGCGGGCGGCGGAGCGCCGGGTCCGTGCGATCGGTACCCGGGCGCTGCCATCCCCGAGCCCCGGGATGTGCCCGGTGTGTGTGTGTTTCGAGGAGGATGCTGGAGCGAGGCGGGGGATGAGATCCTCGGCTCCGCGGTGAGCGAGCGAGGCTCTGTGTGATAGATGAACCCAAACAAGCCGTGAGGGACCGGCGGTGAACGCCAGGGCGATCCGTTTGCTCTCGGGGATGCTCCCGGGGGTTCCGCCTCCCGCCGGGGACCCGCGCAGGGTGGGTGCGTATTTGGGGGCTCGCGGCCGTGGGTGGATGCGTGAGGCCGGAGGGAGCGGTGCGCCTGTGCGAGCCGAGGCCTCAATGAGCCTTTTGCGGGAAAACAAAACGGCTCTGTGGTCCTTCCATCCTCCCGGAGGTTTTCCCCGCTTCCGCCCGGCGCGTTGCTCGTCCCTCCTGCCCCACGCCGGCCCCGAGAGCTCCGTGCAGCCATCAACATCCTGGTACTCCGGGCCGGAGGTACCTGCTGGGATCGCTGCTACGGCGGGACTGCGGTAACACCGAGCCCGCGGCAGGCTCTGCTGGGAAGGGGCTCGTCTGTGGCTCTACACACGCTCCTGCCTCTTGTTTGTCTTTTTTTTTTTTTTTTTTTTAAATTTTTTTTTTGGTGCGGTTTAGTAATGGAATAATACAGAGACTAAAAAAAAAAATAACGGCAGCACTCAAGCAGGTAGGATGCAATTTAAAGTCACTCCAGCTAATACCCCATGCAAGACTGCATTTGTTAAGGTATGTGAGCTGTGCAGAAGGCAGCAGTCTTTAGTGAATCACTTCTGAAAAACAAATACTTGACAAAAAAACCAGACCTGTTAAATGGATAACAATTATGTAAGCCTGTAGTAGGTTTTGATGTATGTCAGGTCTGTTAAATAAATCAACCTGTTCAGTGAATAAATCTGCTCTGCACCAATGCTTTATTATTATTTTTTAAGGAGAATAAACCTGTGTATTTAAGATGTTTTTACTGATGTGAATCTCATGGCCAAGCCCCGTGGCTGCCGGTGACACGAGACGAATCCGTGGGGAGGGTGGGGTGCGGGAGTGTGGGGAGGGAAGGGGCACGCCACGTAATAAGGTGGATATTAAAAATACACAAAAATGTGCATAAGGATTCCTAGTGATAAAATTCTCACTGATCCATGTCTTGATGGAGTATTTGCTTTGCAGTGGCAATGGCCCATACAAAGCTACATTGATTTAGCCTGCTCTGTTCACGACGGCAGTTCTGGTGAATAATTATTTTCCCAAAAGCCCTAACCGAGGGGAAGAAAGAGAGTCCCTGCTTGGCCTGCACAGTAGTGCAGTATCTTTGAAAGCAGCGTATCCGGCTGCAAAGAAAGAGAGCCAGTTCAAGTGTTACTCCACTCAGCAGGAATAAAAGGGAGGCAGAAAAGGGGAGCACCCGGCCGGCTTCCCCGAGCTCCTCGGCCCCCTTTCCCTTTCTGCACCTCACCCTCTGCTCGGCTCTGGGGGCGGGGAGGGGGGGTTTCTCTGGTTTTGTTTTTGCTTTTTTGTGTTTGCTGTTGCCGTTTTTAGGAGGCGAGGCTCCAGCAGCCCACTTCAGCATTGAGTTCTGAATGCTGAGGAGTCTCTTTCAGATAGAAAAATAGGGAAAAGGTTGTGGCCAGTGCGTTTTAACTTCTGTAGCTGGGACAGGGAGTATGTCTGTGTGGGGCAGTGCCTTGATGGTGTCCTCCTCTTCTGAGATGGTGAGGCCTCATGGATGTTTTTGTGATGGATCACGTGTGGATCTTTTTCCTGTCTCTGCAAAGAGACGTATGAAAAGACTCAAATGTGCTTGCAGGACCAAGGAGGCCACAGGCTTGGGGAGGAAGTGTTCCCAAACAAAAGAGTCCAGCACAGGTTGGCATCCTTGGTGTGGGACAGAACCATCGATGCAAGGTGCATTTTTTGGATATTGTTTCCATCATAGCCAGAGTGATGACAAACCAGCTGTGCTGCTTTCCCCAGGCACAACAGAGAACTGTCCCCATGAAGTTTGTGCCCTGTCACAAGCAGAAAGCAGCATTAGGAAATTATCTTCTCCTTGGGCAGAACCCAGGGAGGAGAGCTATGGATACTCCAGGCTTTGCCCTGATCCTCACACAGGGGCTGTGTAGAGGCTGTCACAGCTGAGTTTATCTTTGGCCCTGGGAGAGGTGGGTACTCTGAGTGTTAAACTGAGTAAAATCGCTATTGCTTCTCAGTGATGACGATTTTTGGTCTGTGAGGGTATTTTAAAAATAATATTTTGAGAATTGGGAGCAGAATAATTGTTACATAACCCACCTGTTACGTTCAAAGTCCTGTTTTCCACCTGGGAGAGGGCTGCACTTTTTTTATTTTTATGCTGGATCTTTGTGTACTTTTAGCCCCGCTTGAGTTGGCTTTATAATCATTACCTGTGTATACAGTCAGGTGCTTGACGAGCCTGATTTTGTGGAAGCTGCCAGCAGTGAGTAAATGAGCCATGTGGCATAAAAATGAGCAAACCATGTTTTGTTGGTACCTTGCTCTTCCCTCTTTCCTTCGAGCAGGTCGTACACACCCCTAAGTGTCACCTGTGTGAGGGTCTGGGCTGCTCCAGGACAGGGAGCCACTTGATCTGTTACCTGTATGTGGTGTGAGGGGCGTGGTGGGATCTCAGCCTTTTGATTTTTTTTGATTTTAGGGCTCCTGGGTGCCGTTGCAACAAAACATTAAATCATTACCACGTGTTGTGTTGTGCAGAAATCACAGATGCTGAAGATGATGAACTGGTTTGAGCATCCAGGTGTGAAGGATGCAGGAATTGAGGGTAACCTGTCCTGCTCTCAGTGCCAGGGGGTTGGTACCACCAGTTCCCTGGCTGTGGACAGGAGGAAAAATGGGGAATGTTGGGCAAAGCTGAGCCGGAGCGAAGTTCGCAGGACGAGCTGTCAGCTCTGCAAGTGAGCATTGACCCCTTATCCTCACAAAGTCCTCTTAGGAACGGCACGAGGAGGTGGCTTTGGTTCAGTGGTGCTTTGGACTGTGGCAGTAGTGCTGGGTGGATTTTGTTTGCAGTTCAGGGGAGTAGCATGTAATCTGTGTAATGCTGCTTTTGTGTGCCTCTGCTGCAAATTGATGTCTGGGGAATGACATGTAGCAAAGGCTCTAGACCAGCAGGTCTGTGATATTTTTGTAGCAATGTCTTTTTATTCAAAGCAGGTGTCATGGAGATCTTTCATCCCAGGATTTCTTTCATCCCTGGCGTTTGTTAGCTTGTGTTAAAACTTTAAATCTCGAGCGTTTCTTCTGTACAGAAGGTGTTCCTCATGTTGCTCCTGCATGGGCTGAGCTGGGTGATTATGCAGGCTCCAAACAGTGACACGTATGAGGTGACTCTGTGTCTGCACTGCTGTGTCAGCTCTGGGAACGATCCAGGGCTGTGGCCCAGTGCCCTCTGGTCCCAGGAGGGGTCTGGATGCGGGGGGATCTGGGGGTGGGCAGTGATGGGGACGCTGTCCCTGGGCAGAGTGTTCCTCTGAGCCTTAAGTATTCAGAAGGTGATTTGTGCCCAGCGGTCTGAACTCATGTTTGCAGTGTTGTCTGGCCTTTACAGAGCTCTGAAAACATTTTTTACTACGTGTTGCCCTATTTGCTTAATTTATCCAAGCTCTTGTCTCAATAGTCTCCCGTGATAGAGAATTCTGCTGGCTAATTGTTGCCTTTCACTGATCTTCTGTTTCTTTGGTTTTTGCCATATCTTCAGAATATGGGTGGATGTGTCACTAGAAGTTTCTGATCAGTCTTCTTATCCAGATTTACTGCCCTGTGGGAGGGTAGGACCACAGTCTGGACCAGGGCTGGCACAGGGCTGGCACTGCTTCTGCTTGGAGCTCAGCTCATTAATTTAGGAAATCGGTTTTAACACTCTTCTGAATTGCCATTACTGGGATCTGGGATCACTGTCTCTGTTTTCCTTAGGCTTGAGACCACGAGTGCCTCTGTCTTGAGGGAGCTTTGACTTCTGGATGTCACCTTGCCTTGTTGCAGTGCCAGTCTGCAGCGTGTCATTGTCCTGCTCTGCAGGAGCAGCAGGGGTTGCAGGCTTGGCCTAGACACCAGTGAGGGTTTTTTTTTTGCCATCTTACCAACCTCCTCACCTTGCTCACGTGGGGTTGTGTTACCCAGGAGGGCTCCTCGTGTGAGTTACAGCACGGAAGAACCAAACGTGGCAAAGACAAGCTCTGTGGATGAATTTTGTTTCCTGTATAATGTCCCAATGAATGACTTGAGTCTTTGATGAAGGAGAGAAGCTGAAGCCTTATGAAGGGCCTGTTTATTGGCATTAATTATTTTTTATTAGTTACAGCATCCCTAGTCCGTTGGCAGTAGAAGAGCCCAAAGTAAGAATATTAATTCTTCAGAAGTTTTT